CTCATTCTATTATCGAATGTGCTTATTGTATGTATAGATTGTAAATATAATTTTTTTTTGGATTCTGAGTGGAACGATGAATGTATTGATTTTAAAATGATGTGTGTTTTTTTTTTATTTTTTATTTTTTTTTTTTGTGTCAGTGTACACGATAAGTAGTCGAAATAATGCTTCGATTTTCCACTTTAGTATTTTGTTCGAAATGTGAATCTATTTGGTGAATTCGGGAGGTCAAATTTTAAAATTCCCAATAGTTTTCACAAACGCCGGAATTAAACACATACAAATTAAGGAATGACGGGAATTTTTACGCAAAATCTGTTTTAAAACAAATCGATTTTGGTTTTTGGTGTAACTCTAAAAAAAAATTAATGTATATACATGAAATTTTCACTGGTTGTTTATATTTGCATTTTCTATACAAGATAAAACTTTTAAAATATTATGATTTGTTTTGAACTGTTTTGGGACATTTTCATTTTCCATTTTTTTTTAGTTTTTATTCTAAAATTATCAATAACATTTTATTTGTTGGTTTCGAAAGCTTGAAAATTTCATAGAAGGCTCCTAGTAAATTGTTTCAAAGGCAGATGAAAAATATTAAAAATCCTTAGTCACAATTTTTTTTTATAAGCATTTAAAGTTAAAAAATTGACAAAATATTTAAAAATCACGAAAATTAGCAAATTATTTTGATTTAAGAATTCGTAAAAATGTTCCTTTTTAAATCTAAGATTTGAAATTGTAATACAAGATTACTCATAAGTTTGTATACCTTTATCAATAAAAAAATCTCTACCGGAAAGTCAAATTAAATTTTTATGAGCGTTTGAAATTCAAATTTTTACACATTGGATGTTCACTCGATTTCTCATGTAGCGATTTCCTTATTTTGTTGTAATTCAAAAGCGAATAACTGTAGATATATGAAAATTTCACTGAATATTCATGTTAGCATTTCCTATACACTGTACAATTTTGAAAATATTTTGACTCTTTTTGAGCTGTTTCCGGACATTTTCAGTTTTCAATTTGTTTAGTATTTTTTTTCTATAAATATGAATAAAGTTTTATCTGTTGGGCCAAAAATGTAAAAATTCAATACAAGGCTCCTGGTATATTGTCACAATAGCAATTAAAAAATGTTAAAAATACAAACAAACAAATTTTTTTTATAAGCATTTTCAGATTGAATTTTGACAAAATTTATCAATATCTCTAAAATTATCAATCATTGTAATTAATAAATTATAAAATGTTCAGTTTTTATAGTTAAGGATTGCAAATTTAAAACAAAGGTTCTCATAAATAGTTCATATTGTAACTAAAAAATCTAAAAAATACCTATATGAACACAGTTATTTTTTACAGACATTTTAAATTCAAATTTGGACGAAATTACATAATAAAAAACCTAGAATAACTATTTTAGTTATTTTGTTGTGATCGTGTAATATTATTCGTGGGTACTTGAAACTTCTAATGTATAGGTACTACTATATATCTATGATAGTATCAGGGATTTTTGTTGATGTATAACGCGTTTTAAGTACCTAATGGAAATTGTGATATGATTAATTTGGAATTCATTATAGGTCAATTTTTTTTAAATACCATATATAATTATATAATATGTCTTATACCTAGACTGACATACCGTCTCCGCTCAGAATCGTTTTTCTTATACAATGATATAATATCATTGAATTCAAATGTAATACCATCCATTATACAGTGACCCACTTATAACCTACTGTACAGCAGAGTGACACCCACTTGCCAACCTTTTTTAAATGTTGACTGTTTGATCTTTGAATCATTGATTGTGTTTCAGTTTTATTTGTAATTTGTTTTATCATATTTTGAATTGGATTAAAACCGTTTTTATATTAGTAGTATATATTTGTATGTTCTGAGAACCTTTTTTACAGGGAGATTTCTTCAGTTCAATCCGACAATTCTACATGCTCCACCGTGTAACAAAAATTTCAAAAACCCTAATGTATGTTCTGAGCACTTTTTTTCTACATACGATCACTGTGTAACATAAAATCTCAAAAAGTGTAATTTTTAAACAGCTTATGTTATTGTGTAACACACCATAAAACTGTATATCATCTGTTACGCAAAATATATTAATTATGTAATTTTTTTAATTTATTAATGTATATTAATTTTTTAGGAATAAAAAACAATTAGTTAAATATACATATTTATTAAAATATTATTTTATTTACTAATACAATTATATATAATTCTAAAAATTATTTACACGAGTTCTCTTACTTCTCTAGTAAAAGGTACATATTCTACAATACGATTACGAATTAATAAACAGTAAGCAGTCACACCTGTGAGCGATTCTGAAGCTTCAATTTCCAATTGAACATCTACTGCTGAGGCTGTGGCTGAATCGTTATGTTTCGAAGTATCGATGACTATAATTTAGGCGTTTGGTAGAAAAGTAGAAGGACTCAATATCGGGTTACCAATACTTTTTTCATAGTACGATTCTTGAAACGATGTATACATATTATATAATAAGGTGAAATTATTTTTAGTAAAATCTAAATTCAAATTATCATATGGATAAGCTATCGAGTTCAGAAATACTCTAACGTTTGTCAGACTGCAATGATCAAATATACTACAATCTTTCGTTAAGTTATTTTTACGTTCTTTTTGTAATCCAATAATGATAAATCGTGGTTTTTCTAATTTTGAAGCAGTTTTCAAATTCCATACATTTATTTTAGTGGTTCCGAGTTCAGGATATTCAAAAGTTTCAAAAGATCTAAAGGAAATAAATAGACTTTGTTCTTTTTCTATAAGTTTCAATAATTTTAACCTTTCTTCATCGTCAACAGTGATATGTGGGACCTTAGAGGCTATTTTGTTTAAAAGACTTTACCTTCAGTAGCAGTTGCACCACTTTCAAATTGTAAAGCATTTAAATAGTTATGACTTCGAGTTAATATTAATCTAAATCTAGAACTCACTAATATTATTTTATAGTCTTCAAATAAACTTAACCAATATTTCAATGCAATGCAACAACTTAATTCACCTTTATCATTTTCCGATTGCGTTGCGTTTTTAAAATTCCAGCCAGCATTTTCATAACAATTGTAGTTGTCTGGGTACCGGATAAGTATCCTTTCAACGATCTTGTGATTCCAAGAACACGTGTGCTATCTACTTCTATCCTATTGATTTCCAATCGTATTTGTTTGAAGAGGTAAGACTAACCGTTATTAGATAGGTCACTTTAGTAGCATCAGTAATTGTTCCTTCCAAAAAAATAAAGCTTTCATGTAGATATGGGTAGACATCCGTTTGCTGGATTGATTTACGTATTTCATCATTATTATTAAATGATGTAGTATACTTTGGGTATGAATGATATTCAATTTTTGTAATTTTAGAATCCGTTTCGTACTGTGAAGTTATATCTAAAATATCACTTTCAGGCATTCTGCTTTAATTGGTAACTCAGAGCTTGTAAAATTTTTTTATTCTGCACCGTCAGTTTTTATTTTATTTGATGTTACTGGTAGCACTTTAGTCTTATGACTAGTTGAACTGATCCGAAGTAGTGTGTTTATATTGAATTTCAATCCCATCTCAAGGATCGTGACGTCTAATATGTAACACGATTGTAAATGTCTCACAAAAATTATCAATAAGATTATGATCTTGATCGACTAGCTGAACGGATATCGAATCAATATCTGTTTTATTCAATTTATAATATATTATTAAATTTGGAGGTGACTGAATTACTTTAGATCCTGTCCTTTCACTTGGGAAAAACTCGTAAATTGAATGACTTTGAAGATGGTTGCTGAATTATCCTTGAGCTATATTGCACATTACTTTTATAGAATTAATTGTGTTTAAATTCACAGCTTTTTCCGATCGATGATGTACGAGTCTTCAATAATCTGCCTTATATTCACGTTTTTTAAAACCCAATACAGGTGTTATGCTATGTAAAATCTCAAAGTGAAGTATTCCATTACATTTTATATTTGATCTAAAATGGTGAGGATCAACCGAAAAGTCAAATGATAACTTGGTTTTGAATTTTTCATAATAGACATCTATTTGTTCCTTAACTCGATGCTTAATATCTTCAATTTCATAGCATCCCTCTTCCAATTTGATATAACCCATCATACGATCATTATTATTGTTATTGTCGACTACTTGTATAGCAAATTTATTATTATTTTCGTTAATATTCGGGAATGAATTAAATGTCTGCAAACATAATAAAGCTATTTCTGAGTCCCCGTAAAGGTTTATAGACGGAAAATAATTTGCAGATAATATGGTAGTATTCCCTGTCAAACTTAACCGACTCGTACATTACAAAATCTAAGATATAAATTTAATAATGAGATCTGTAACGTTTAATATGCAGAACAACTGTCAACGCCTCATTTAAGTTATAGGATTATTGTTTTGATCAACTAACTGTACAGTTATTGAATTAATATCTGTTTTGTTTAACCTGTAATATATAAGGTTTAACGGAGATTTAATAACCTTTGTTCCTGTTCTCTCACTCGGGAAAAACTCATATATCGAATGACTTTGAAGTTGGTTGTCGAAAGACCCATGTGCTATATTACACATTGCTTTTATAGAGTTAATCGTGTTTAAATTAGAAGCTTTATCCTATCGACGAGCTTCATGAAACGGTCCACATTTTTTCTTTTCAAACCCGAATATAGATGCTATACTATATGGAGTATTTAATCAAAGTATTCCATTACATTTCAACACACACTAAACAAAATACTAAAATAAATTGATACTGCTTTAAATGAAACGGTTCGCATTATAACAGGATGCTTAAAGCCAACACCAGTAGACAAATTATACCTTCTAGCAGGAATAGCTCCGCCACATATACGCAGACAAATTGCAAGTGACATAGAACGGACGAAACAGATCACGGATGAAAGGCACCCGATGTATAACACACAAGTGGAATGATTCCGACTAAAATCAAGAAAGAGTTTCTAAAATGCACTAAGAAATTAGAAGATGACCCACAGACATCAAGATTAAAGTTATGGGAGGTAGAGAGCAAGCAAAAAGTTGAAGAAAAGTTACCCCCGGGACATAACAATAAATGGATGGTCTGGAGAACACTAAATCACCTACGTACAGGAGTCGGTCGTTCGAGGGAGAACCTAAAAAAATGGGGAATAAGCAATGGGAATGAAGACACGAGCTGTATACGTGGATAAGTCCAGACAATGTCAGCATGTCGCACCTCCTAAACTGCAATGAATGTCCAATCAAATGCAATGTAACAGACTTACAAGACTCAAATAACAAGGCTATAAAGTTGGCAGAATTTTGGAGCGATAAAATTTAAAAATTTGAAAACACAACTCATACGTTACCTTTTAGAACCACCCATTGTTACCATTAATATAATTACCATTATTTACTAAGTACATTATTCCATATGTTATTTTATTTTATTTTATGTATACCAGTTGATTTTTTGACTAATTGACTAATTGATATTATGTTTTGTTATTTATAGTTTATATGTAAGGATGTTTACCTAAATATTTAATTACCTGTAAAATGACCTGTCATAACCCCGACTCGTAAAAAAAAAAAAAATTACATTTTATATACGTTCTTAAATCAAGAGGATCAATACGTACCTACACTGAATGTTAGCTGTGTTCCGTGTTCGTTATTAACATCGAATAACAATAATTTTGCAATTGCATTGTTAATATCTTCTATTTCACAGCATCCATCTTTAAAACAAAATTCAAAAATTTTCAATTTATTTCCTTTGAAGGAATTACTTCTATTTTTAGTCGGTTATTAATTCCATTTATAATATTTGGAAATGAATTGAACGTTTGCAATGATAACAAAGCTATTTCTGAATCCTCGTAAACGTTTAGAGATGGAAAATAATTTGTAGATAATATAGTCGAATTCCCATTCAAACTTAATGTAATAGATTTATACATTGTAAAAAATCAAGACATAAATGACCACAGTTGAATGTATTGAAATCTTGATAGTTAGAATAGTTGTATACTATTTTGAAATATCTGAAATAATGTTGTAATTCATTTGGTGGTGGTAAATCACCAAAGCTATCAAAATATACAACTTTATCCTTATTTTTATAAAACGCTACCCAATGACTTCCGTCACCTGAAGATATATCTAAGTTTAATATACCACATTCAATCGCATGTGGTTTTTTAGGCAAGTTATCACGTGAAAAGATTCCACGGAAATGATTAATTTTCAACTTTCCTACATATTTTATAATATCTTGAGACCAAAGCAGTCTGTCAGGTAGCGTGATCATCAGTTTTTTTTTTTAACCTATTCTTGTTTGATTTCAAACCACTGCCTTTTTTAATTTTTTTTTTTTTTAATTTTTAACCGCATTATACACACTAGCACCTCCAGACATCAATCTACCAAGTGCTGACAGTCCCACAAATATAGGTATTAAGGGAATTACTCCTCCTGACTGTCTCAGTGCTAAAATCCACCTTTTACCGCCATTCTTTTTCTTTGAGATTCTTTTTTTCTTCACTGCTAGTATACCATTTGTTTTTATAGCACGTTTCCGTTTACAACCCATACCTATTTTTCTTTTAGCTTTCATTGCATTTGTTACTACGTACGCAACAAATTTCTTTTTTCTAGGAGTTTCTTTTGCTTTAAATCCTTCCCAAGCACGATTTTCTAAGACTTTATCAGCTCTATGTCTATCGTCTAAATTTTTACTCGTTGCGTACACAATATCGTGATCACGACAAGCAGCATCCAATGGGTTTATTCCTTTATCACCACGATCTAACCTCTTTTTTTTTAATTTCTCACCAGGACCACAATACTGATAGCCTGAACCATGGGCTTTGAACGGGAGATTATTTATAAGGGAGCTTACAAATCCTTTTCCAGTCTTGACTTACTTACACTTATGAGTTGAAAGCGTCATCGATAACTGATTATAAATTGAAAAATTCTAGAGTATTTATAAGAAAATAATATGGATTTGATCGAACAGAAAGATAAATTGGATGTTATAATTAATGTAGATGTTCAGGTAGTAAAAAAACCATCAAGACAAGGTTCGTTATTACCCGATACTATACGTGCTATACTAGTTGGTCCCAGTGGTACAGGAAAATTAAATATATTGTGTAATCTGATCACACATGCAAACGGGTTAAGATTTGAAAATATTTATTTATACTCGAAAACCTCTAATCAGGAAAATATATTTTATTAAAAAAAAAATAGATGATATACAAGGTGCTAATTTGTTCCTATTTACAAGCGCTGATAAAGTTATAAAACCAAACTTAACGAAGAAAAATTCTATTATAATTTTTGATGATATGATATATTGATATGCGGTCCACAATCTGTAATCAGAGAATACTTTAGCATTGGCAGACATTCAGGTGCCAGATCCATATTTTATTTAGCACAGACATATTCTAAAATATCAAAACAGCTAGTAAGAGATAACGCAAACTTTTTAATAATACTGAAACAAGATGATACCTATTTACGACATATATTCAACGATCATTCGTCTGAAGATATGTATTTCTTAGAATTTCGGAAAGTTTCTCATTTACGTTGGAATCATAGTGATTATGGGTTTATGGTTATCGATAAAACTCGAGAAATGAATGAAGGAAGGTATAGATGTGGTTTTCATACATTCATTAAAATAAAATAATTTTAAGTGTTTATACCTATATATAAATATACTGTCACACAGTTATTATCTGCATAGTGTTATCAGTAGTCATACGATACAGGTATATTACATTTATTATTTACAATGAACAAAGAAAAAGTCTTGTTGGAAAATTTAATAACATCAAAAAATAATATACAACGAAAATAATGGAAATGAAACGTGGTGTTATAGATTCTGAAAACTATTTCCGTGAAGCATTTAAGACGATAATTGAACCATTGAGTACACATGTAAAACAAAATGCAATATGTACCTAACACACGGTCAACTGAACTAGAAAATAAATCAGAAACCTCATGCATTAGTGAAGAAGATAATTATGGTGAATTAAATTCATCATATGAAAAGTTTTTAAATAACCGTCCTAAATCAACACGTTATGATAAATCCTATGATATGCATAATGATAAAGATAGTGATTCATATAAAATAGGAAAACATTCTGTAACTTTTAGCCACGGTAAATTACTGTTGCTTAATAAATATTATAAATTTACACCAGGACTATGGTCTTTATTATGTGAGAAGGAACCAAAAAATACAACTGTAGCAGATATAGAATCTTATTACAATATTTTGAAAACTACTGGAGTCCATTTAAAAACAGATGGAAAACCTAGAACCTCGAGGTACCATAAATGGATGACTGTTGTAAAACCACTGGTATGATCGAATGCAAATGAAGGAAAAACAATTTAACGAAGAAATAAGTAAAATTAATGAGAATACAACTCCTCGAATTAACTTGAAATCATTTAACAAACATTTATCTAGTTCAAGCGCTAAACGCAGAAAAATAACACAAGAATTTGAACCATTTGATTTTAATCCAGAAGCAAACAGTTCTATGTCTACAAATCCCGTAGTTGAAAAGATGTTTAATTTTAATTCATCACCAAAGACTAAGAAAGGTTCTGGTTTATATAAAGATGTCTTACCTCAAACCCAATTAGTTTATTATGACGATCCGAATGAGCTAGTAACTAGATTAATTTTTTTGACATCATCACAAAGTGTTGGTAATACTGGTGTTAATAATGAAATTATATCTATTTTGGAAGAACTACGTGAGAGAAATATTATAGTTTAATAACTACCTTAGAGAGCATAGCTAATGAGTTACATCGGCCAGCGAGAAAAATATTTCCTAGACGCAGTGTAGTAACACAGTTTATTGATGACCTCTGGCAAGCTGATTTAATGAACATGCAATCTCATTCTAGACAAAATTATGGTTTTAAGTATATTTTAGTTGTCATAGATACATATAGTAAGTACGTATGGCTTGAGGCGTTGAAAAATAAAACATCGAAAGAATGTACAAAAGGAATGTTTAATTATTACAGACAGATAATGGTACAGAATTTTATAATATTCAATTTCAAAATTTAATGAAAAAATATAAAATTAAACATTACAGTTCATACAGTGTTATCAAGTGTTCATTTGCTGAATGTGTTATTCAAACTCTTAAAAATAATATATATAGATATTTTACTGCCACAGGTACATGGAATTGATATAATACACTATCAATCATATTGCTAATTATTTTGTAGTAAAAAATGAATACAATTTGTTCATACTTTTTACTCTCTTCATTCTTTTAACATAAATCGAAGGAATACCAAAAGGCTTCATCGTATGCTCCTAGCATATTTATCAAAACAATGTACATCAAATTGTAAATAACATCAAAAAAATTAGGTTTGATTGAACTAACATTAATGTTGCACTTGTTCTGGATAACATTTAACCACTCTCCTCTGAAATTACTCTGTGGAATTCTAAAAAATAAAATATTTTTATTATATATAATATAAAGACATAAATATATCATACATATTACATTGTAAACAAATTAAATATTAAACAGTCAATGAACCTATGAGTAAAGAATTTAAAAATCAAATTGATAGATGTCAGGAATCAGGATGTCCTCCTTGAAATAAAATTCAATTAAAAACTTTAATAAGTGAAGAGATTAACATTTTTTAAAGTAAAGTTTAGTTAGTTGACTGTTTCATATTTAATTTGTTGATTAAGGGGGCTCCAGCGTATCATGTTTTAAGGAGTAATATTTAGGCAATTCACATAACGTGAACCATTTGGGCTATGTCTATGTGTGAGTAGTAAATGAACATTAGTGTGGGTAATCCATTATCGCGTGCCTAGGACTATCGGTTGATAGTATTACGAATTCCCAGAACTACGTATAATTAAAATGCTATAAAAATGACAATATATGTTCAATCGCGCGCATTATTTTCGATTCTGAGTCAAACGATGAATGTATTGATTTTACAATGATGTGTGTTTTTTTTTTATTTATTTTTTTATTTTTTTATTTTTGTGTCTGTGTACACGATTAGTAGTCGAAAGAGTGCTTCGATTTTCAACTTCAGTAACTTGTTCGATGGGAAAGTGAATCTAGTTAGTACTTTGGGGGGTCAAAATTTAAAATTTACAATAGTTTTC